TATCTATGGTCAAACTACAGTCCTGGAGCTATTAATTAAAGGAAAATATTCTTTTACTGAAGCTTTTAATCCTATACTCATATAAATCTATGGGTATAAGAATAAAAAGTAAACCTATAGTTGTTTTTAAAAAACTATGACAAGTATAGCAATGTGAATGCAAAATTAATTATATATCTATAATAAACCTATACTTACCGTAGTTTTTACCACAATTTACCTTGTGCACATTGTACTTATTTATAATACCTAGTTGTAATTAAAGTAAGATTCACAAAAGACATTATTACTCAAATGCAAATACAGTTACAGAAAAAGTACCTAAGAACCTGCGATTAAAAAAAACAAAGCCATTTTTTTATACAATATGTTTAGCTAGAGTTCTTCACGAAACTAAGTATTTCGCTATTCTACATTTTTATCTGCTCCACTATTATCCAGCACAAAAGGCGCTGTTCAAGTTTTGCACTTAGATAAGTTAAGTATTTAAAATGCCGGAGGTGTGTTCACTTAACTCGCCCGTCTTTGCATAACCTTCTCTACTTCTTTAGCTTTTAAATATCTTTAAAGCGCGATACCGTTTTGTAACTATTCGGTCAAAAGTTTCTTGTAGTTTATAACTTTAATTTGCTGAAACTTTAAGTACGCCAACTGCCTGAATAAATTTTATAATTATAATAAAGGGAAATAATCGAATATTAAATATTTTACCTTCTTAAGTTACTAGTTTTCCCGCAAATTCGTCCACTAAACAGTTTAGCCGCATAAGTATTAAGTAACTACCTGTAGATGAAATAATTTGTATGATCGTATCAATATTTTTGAAGATTTCAGAAACTTTTGCCTTTAGGTATAGATTGGAGAAAATTTGTAAATTCTCAATTACACTCGATTGAATTATAAAGAATATTATAATGAATTATAAGATAGTAAATTCAGTATTCGGTTTTAGGTTTACAATTCCATAATTGTTTTCCTTATTACGTCACATAATTTAAAATTTTCCTTTAGCGCAGTGGGCTAGTACACTCGGACTGCAATACGGTTGCTAAGCAACTTTCGCAGTGGCCTGCCACAGGATCGGTGACCGAAAACTTATGATCTCCTTTTTCGGCCTTTCCTTCCCCGAGCCCCAACAGTGGGAACATTAATATTCTGGTGATAATGGTGATGATGGTGATGAAATTTTACATGATACGAAATTCATTATATTATGTAATTTATTTGAAGTCGAATCTAAAGAAGAACACAATACATCAAACGCTTGCCGTTAACCATAGAATGTCTGTCACTATTTGAGACACGAAGAGTGACTTTAACTATGTAAAAAAATTTTTATAATGGTAACTTTTCTGGCACTAACAGTGTAAGCTAGCCAACACACTTTAACTTATATAAATATATATGAGTCGACATCTTTTACATGGCTCAGATACCAAATGTATGTATGTTACTTTTAATACTTGTATTATAGAAATCTATAACAACGCGATATGGTCTCTATGAAATTTGTAACAATTCAATATGTAACAACAACAAAAGTGTAACAACATTGAATCCCAATTGAAGCCATTCAAAAAATTTCCGTGCTAGTTGTTGGTCAAAATCGTGGAATAATAAATCGGTTGAAGCGTGGTCCAGAGAATATGGAGGGTGAATAATGGTTACTAAATGCTTCTTATTCTACTCGTAGACTGTTTCTTCACCAAGAAATTAAGATTTTCACTTGTAAATAAATGTTGTTGTGGTGTATACATTTTTACCAGACTGCAAAGGAAGGGTTACGTATCTCTCGCGTAACTTGTATGTATGTATGTAATATTTTTTTTACCTCACATCTTCATAACCTCTGAACGGATTTACATAATTGATTCGTCTTAGCAGCCCAAGTGTTAATATATAGATGAAGTTAAAAAAACAAATATGGCGTCCATACGAAGCACTTCATAATTTTTTTGTTTCAAATACTACAATATGCGTATATTAAATTAAAGGACTCAATACAAGGATTTTAAAAAGGTATATCATTACGGCAACACTAATATAAATTTCACTTTCTGAATCAACCAGGTAATTTGTCTAACTGAAAAGACAAATAAAATTATGATTAAAAATAAAACACAAAAACCCGCCTGCGTGAAAAACAACTTACTGAAAAGGCTGCAGCGAGATATAAATTTTATGCAACATCATGCTTAAAATGCAGTCGGAGGCATGAACTTTAATAATCAGTCAAATCATTCTCTCTTTTTGCATGCCTGCGACTGCATGTTATGCATGATGCATAAAATTTGTATCTTGTTCCAGCCTTTTCAATCAGTTGTTTTTCACGCAGGCAGAAGTTTTGTTTTTATTAATTATATTTTTTAAATGTTTATTTACAAAATTCGGTGTTCACTTTTAAGAACTTGTGTACCTGTCCTTCACAAATGAATGTTGACTTTAATCTTTGAGTTTGCCTTGTGCAATGTGAAGTCTTATTTATAGATCGTATATAGTATATAAAAATTTAAAACGGTAGTTTTTTTACTTACTTTATGATTACACTCAGAGATAGTTTCAAGGGTTCTAGTTAAATTCCAATTAACTTAAGTAATGGACAGATAATTTGCTAGAAGTTCTATTCCATTTTTAAATTAAACCAGGAAGAATTCTGTTCCAATTTTAAACGTAACCGCTCTGAGAATGGAAAGTTTTAAATGGGTTTAAGCAATTCTATTTTGGGTTAAACGAATGTAATTTTTATATTTTCATATATTTATTCTTCAGTTAATGCACTGGTAGTCTGTAGTATGTATAATAAAGGACAAAGCTATTTATTCGTGGTTTCACTTCATGACACTTATTTTTACATAATAAATAATCAATAAACTGCAATTATACATCGGTACCATATATAAATATAGATACCATAAGTTTCTCATCAGTTCCCTCTAAAAATTCTATTATTTTCATTATAATTTAGGTTTAGGAAATCCACCTAAACAGCCAACAGAAACATTTCAAAATATTTTTCTACATTAAAATACCAACATGCCTTGCGTTGTGAATACAATATTTATCAAATATAGTACCAATTTCCTGTAGATGAATACATCATTTTGTGAATATCCAACAAATTCCCTTGACAATTAGATTAAACGCACACGAGGACTAGACAGCTCCTTTATTTGCATATCTCTCTGGGGTCGTTCAGACGAATGGCCCATAAACTCCTCGATAAAACGGCAAGGTAACCGTTTAGTAGACGATTCCTAGGGATAAGTATTACTTCCACTAATCGTTTTGCTTATTTAGATACTTAAATAGATTAAGTGCTCGTCTTATATACGCTAATAGACTACTTCACTCATTCAAATTCAAATTAAAATTATTTGTTTTAATACAGGCACAAGACACAGTACATATAATTATCAGTAAAATAGGACAATACAAGGTTGAGTGTCTCATGGCTGAACTAAAGAATGTGACTAGTTCAGCGTTAGACCACACTACTGTGCTCTTAATATTAGTAAGATTTTTGATAAAAATCATGCTGAATCACATACAAACATACTTTTAGAAGAATAACCATACGAATCGATAACAATTTGGTTTTACAAGGGGTCGCACAACAACCGAAGCCGACGTCGAGTTAATACAAGAAATTTTTAATGCCTGGGAGGATTCACATGATGCGTTAGGTATTTTCTGTGGCCTATCTAAGGCGTTTGATTGTGTTTTTCATGATACATTGATCAAAAAACTTCATTATTATGGATTAGAGATAACTTACTGGATTATAATTTAATAACCTTTTCCTAAATGAAGAATGAAGCCTTAAATTTGTACTATCTAATATTTAAAAAGTAGTTATAATTGTGGATATATATGATAAGAACATGGGCCTTGTGGATACTATATTATTTTTAGGAATAACATTAGATTCTAAACTACAGTGGGGCCTACTGTAGTTTATATTGATATTGTCGAGTAGACTTAGCTCTGCAGCATATGCCGTAATGAAGATACGTTGGTTAACTGACATAGATTACTATACTTCAGTTACTTTCATACTGTAATATCGTACGGAATCCTATTGTGAAAAATGCTGCCGACATACAAACGATTTTTGTGCTTCAGAAAAGAGTACTTAGATAAATTTATTATCTTAGAATTAGGAACAATTTAATTATATACACATAATGACTGTTGCTTCTCAATACATGTTCGAGAACTTAATGTACGTTCGTAAAAATATTAGTTTGTTTTCTATAAAAAAATAATGTACACAATTATAATACAAGAAATAAAAATAAATTAACGATGCCTGTCACTAGACTGCAAAAAGTTATAACTTATTCAGGGGTCTTTATTATAAGGTATCCGATTATATAACAGGTAACAATGTTTGGACTTAAGGTGGTCCAGCAACTGGTTAGGTGATTTCTTCTAAACTCATTATATCTCAAAAATTATCTTATTGCCATTATTATTAAATTATTATGTCAACATTGTAAGACCATAGTTTTTTTTGTCTCTCTATTTATAATGTATTAATCTGGTAATGACATGGTTTTTGTGAATGTCATTACTCCTATTAGAGCTGGTGAGTTTCTTACTCGTTCTTCTTATCAGCCAAAAGACGTCCTTGCGAATGGTAGGGAAAACATGTTGGACGATTCAAAAGTACTTTTACGAAGTCTATTTGTATAAAGATTATTTTGACTTTGACTTTAAATTTCAGTCATCTATCGCTCATTACGTAAGCTATTGTAAGGTAATGTATATTATTATTATGATAAAATTTTGTTAATTGATATTGTTTTTAATAATCGTTAGAATATATCTCCATTATTCATTAAACAATATTTAGTAATCTATTTCATGATACTTACCTATCCAGCAGAAATCGTAATTGACTTTTACCATTAAACATTGTTCAATTATAAAAGGAAATTTTCAGATTTACCGAATTCCGAGCTTTCACAGTAACAAAACATTGATACTTTTTGTTTTAGGTCAATCGCACAATACTTCGTACGCACTGTACCGCGTAGGTGACGTTGCCAGGCCCACAGTAAGGGCGTTCTCGCAGTTCGGAAAGATTGATGAACTAGTTCAAGAAGGAGAAAATGATCCAAAAGTTTATGATCAATTTTCGACTCCCGCTATCGGAGCGGGGATTGGCGAGAGAGAGAATGTGGTATTGATCGATGGCGGTCACACTTTGGTAAGATCTTTCATTTGCGATTTACAATATTCGTATTACGATACATAAAATATAATCCTATATTTTTGATATAGTTTGGTATTCTGTTTATATTAAAGCGAAATTTTCGAAAATATTATATAATGGACATGCTATTTTATAAAAAAAAAAAAAACTAAAACAGACATCAAAGTAAAAAAAAAAAAACATAAAACCTGAGAAGGTGGTTAAGATATTGAAAAATATTATTTTCAATTCGGGCGAGGATTTGCTAAACGTAGATGTTTTAACCAACCGACTTTAATGCCTTGATTATTTAAACATCATTGTAAATCTTTGTTAAAAAAATTATCCATAATTAGCTTTCTTTCAGCGGCTTCAATCGCGTGGTCCTATAATAAACATACAAATTTCCTCTTAAATCACTCTGTATATTAATGAAAACCGCAATTTAATTCGTTGTATAGTTTAAAAGATCTCAGCGTAAACACAGCGGGAAGCAACTTTATTATATACTATTTATGCATAATATACCCAATTCTTTTTTGAAAACGAATTAAGTGAGTAGGAAAATAAAAATTAAACGTTTTATATATATAATAAAGATAAATACGTATTAAGTAAAGATATAAACTTCAGTGAACCATTTTAATTCTAGAGGCAAGTACCTTGAGTTGATTTTGTTTGATTAAAAAAAATGTCATGTTTCAGGTATCACTGATATGCCACCTGATTCCATCCCCGGACTGGTTTGTAGGTGTCGACAGCGTCGATTTATGTGTAGACTTCTCATGGGTAGACCAAATAACTTTAGACGTGAGTATAATGTTACTGATTTTTTTCAAATATTCAGAATTCTTTTTTACAAAAATGTATCTTTCATTAGTAGTAATTTCGTTTATTATCTATTCTTATATCAATAAAACAATACTTCAATATGTTTATACTAGTATTATAAAGAAGACAGATTTGATCGTTTGTATGTTTGTTTGCTTTGAATAGTCTCCGAAACTACTGGACCGACTTACAAATTTTTTCTCCTTGGGTGTCAATCTGACAAAGGTTATAAGTTACGCGGCTGAGTCGCGGGGAAATATCCAATTAATTCAGTGAAAACCTTGTTTCTACTCAATTTATTATAAAAAATATTTTTTCTTATCACTACCTATTTAAAGCTAGACAGCACAGTTGATAGTGTGTTTGGTCTGAAATAGCGGAAGTGAAGCTACTGTAGCAATGACTGGTCATTAAATGGGTGACCAAAGATTTTAAGCTTCTTTTTCTAGCTCTACAGTCATAAGCACCTACCAATCCGCACTTATCTCCATTTTTAGGTTATTAGCCTTGCTCCTAATGGTCTGTTGCCCCAACTGATGTGGCCTGTGCCCCAAATAGTACATTGATATCAATTACTGATTATCACTTACTTATTCACAGCTGGAACCTCTAGATGGTGGTGCAGCAAGCGGTCTTACATTCACCGCTCCTCGTTGGGAGACTGTACCACCAGAGCCTGTCACTAAGCACAAACCCAGAAACCCTGACCATCCTGCATCAGGTTTCTACTACCCTACGTTGAGGGAGCTACCAACCATCGCCAAAGTGGAATTCGCTAAAGTAATTGTCACATTTAAGTTGTACAGTAACACAACAATAAATCAACACCCTCATCGCGACTTGATTGGTTTCAATATGAATTATTTTATTGCATCCCACAATGTAGTATTAATTGATTGACATCGGCTTGAGTCAAAAGCACTCAACAAGAATCTGTATAGTTCATTGAATAAGTAGATATCAACCTACAACTGCAACCTACATGGTAGCTTCAGTTGAGAAAATTGAAACTTTCTCTAACAAAAATTATATCAATTTGAAAATGTAACTTTTCACAATTCATAAAACGTTCCTTATTAAATACTTGTTTTATGTATACAATAAGTTAAATAAAATTTCTGTATTTTAAAATCATGAGAGAAACATTTTGCAAACATTGTATAAGTTTTCCAATAATTCGATCTTCGATATTCAAGCGTTCATCGAAGCGTTTAATATGAAATGGTTAACTGCATCAGTTTTTACACAAATAACAATTAGTGTACGAGCGAGCCTTTATAAATAAAGATTTTTTAAAGAAGCAAATATATTGGACGATTTCATGAGGTGACTTCTTTGAATTTATAAAGCGATTGTAGAATAAATATTGTCAAATCAATTTAGGAGAACCACTGAGTTCGCCTTTTCCTGGTCAGTCAAAAAACTCATTTGAATCAAAAGCTGTCATCAAAGTATTATTTATTGTATGACATAACATTTTCGAGTCACTCGCATAATATATTTAGTGTGCGTTGCTAGCGAGGTTTGTGTACTACATCCAATTACGCGCCTATCTTAGATACAGTATCCACCAGCAAATTTTGACAACTTTTTGCACCCAGGATACATGTCAATTCACAAGATTATAATAGGTATATTTGCTACTGAAGCAAATTAGTTTATATATTGGCCACCATTTGTAGAAAAATGTTAAATAAATAAAAGATAACGTCACATGTATGTGGCATTGTCTGTTATCTCTCAGATCCCAAATTAAGGGTCGGTACACATCTGACGAAGGATGCCGTTCGTCAGATTCGCACAAACCCGAAGTTGCTGAAGCTAAACTTGTATTTTAGAAATCTGAAACAAAGGACACCTAGACCCAAGAGATTATAGAAAAAATCATTTTTTTTATTAACTCGACAAAGAAACGAGGATATGTACAAGCAACTCTTGGCTTGGTTAAGAAAGGAGAAAAGGGCGTAATTAAACTTTTTTTACAGGTCAAAGAATATTCATCGAAAGAAATTAACGAACTAGCTCGCAAAGATATGTTGATCAAATTGAAACTTAAAGATGCACATAAAGGTTTCCATACAGACATACATGACGTTGATGATGATGATGACAGTCAGGAATTAGAAGCTGCAACCAAAAATAATGTTGAACGTCTCATGGAGCTAGAAGAAGAACCATTTGGCACACCCAAAGCTAACCAAGCTGATAATAACGTGATAGTAGTAACTAAAGCACCGACGACTACGTAAGAAATAATGTTATATTAAAATTTTAAAATATATATAAAATGTTTTTTATGCATATTATATTACTTACTATATTAATATTGTTATTGTAAGTGTGCATGCTGTATATAAATTATATTTATAGTATTAGTGGAGTTCTAACCTTGCTTGCTTATTTTTTGTTACTAATTTAATTGTTTCAGTAATAAAATAAAACACAGATGTTCAAAGGCTGAGCCTGCACTGCGTTAAAATGCATACGTTTAAGATATAGCTGAAAATGCAAAACTGAGTGCATTGCAGCATGCCTTTTCAGTCTGCTAATGTGTGATACGTTCTACGGGTCTGCTGCCATATTTGTACGCTACCCTTTAGCTTGATAACATTAATGTAATGTAACTTTACGAACACTTTTGTTTTATGACTTACAATATTAAGAAAACCTACATCGTCATAACGTACCAAAGGTGATAAAAAGTAATATAAAATTATTTTACTGGAGCCTCTTGGTTTATGATGATAGCTATTTTCGGGACTTTTATTACTGCATGTAAGGTGTCGTATGATTTTCATTTATATAACTTTAGACAATAATATGGAAATTAGACACTATACCAACAAAATGGGCTCTATATTTTTAAGAATGTACTTATTTTCTTCAAATAATCATTTGGCTAAACAGTGAACAAAGATTACCCTTAAAATATATTCATATTTTATCGACAACTCTTTAAATTTATCTACCATATTGATTCTTATCTTCAGAATCAAATACAAATATTTACACTAGGAAATTATTTCTATAACTCCAGACTTATTTCGTTACCTTAATACCTCGTATGTGTATAATCTTTATTAAAAAAAGCATCAATATTAATATTTATTATTTTAGGTCAACGACAGAAAAGGAATTTGACAGTGAACTCAAGAATATGGATGAAGTAGTTCTAGCAGTAGCCAAGGGTCGTAGATTTGGTCTTGGAAAACATCTTCCGAGGCATTTCCGTTCAAGATTGCACCACGCGGTCAACAGAATTCAACGTAATTACAAAAAAAAACGATTTATTATTCTAAAATATATAAACATAATATGAGTATGTAGTGAAATTGATTTGAATTTAAGTATTTGTGCAAAGCTGATTTAGTCCACAGCTTAAATCTGTCAAGAAACTCATGCAAGTATACGTTATTAAGAGATGAATCAATTGTGTGCAAAATTGGATGTTATATCATATCATAATCTATATAATGATCCTTTGCAGTCTCCAAGGATCTCCAGAGATTTTTAAGACTAGAAACTTCTTAAGATGAAAAAATATACGCACTTTAGGACTCATTCAAGAGCTATTTTATCAATATATAAAATGTTGTTCATTACTTAAAACTCTTGTTATAGCTGACGACTGCATGGTGTCAGAATGGAGTGACTGGACTCCTTGTTCTACAACCTGCGGGTTCGGTGACAAATACCGATCGAGAAAAGTGATCAGGGAAAAAAGGGGAGACGGGAGGAATTGCCCCCCGCTCGTCGACAGAGAACATTGCGGGAACGTCAACTCCTGCAACCACATGGACTACTTTGAGTGGTGATAGTTTCAACAGGTTTTCAGAATCAAGACCAATAAAACTAGTGGCAGATTCTGAATATTATTTTTTTAGGACTGAGAGAAAATCACTACAATATACTACTATAAACTAACTTTGTACCTACTCGAATAAAGTTTTAACAGGAGATGATGTAAAATTTCACAGCGAAATCGCCATTATCGCATTTCTAGTTAACTTGACCAGGAAGCTGCACAATAAAGTGCAAATTTGTATAGGTAATGAAATTGGTTTAGTATCATTTCTTTTCTTCAACATGAATAGTGCATAATTTGTAGATCTCTTCAGATAAATAAATAGTTTGAATGTTAACAATAAAGAAAGGTTTTTTATTGATCAAGGAATTTAAATGATGTGATTAGAGAGGTGACATTTTATGTCCCAGACAACGCTTCACCACACCACCACCAGCCCTTTTACGTCCCCACTGCAGGGGCTCAGGCCTTCCTTATGGATGGTTAAGGAGGATGGGCCATGACCCTCCACGTTGGCCCAATGCGGATTGGAGGGTTTTAACGACTGCAAATGCAGCCGGGACCAACGGCTTAACGTGCCTTCCGAAGCACGAAGTAGCTCGAGACAATAATTTTTGGTCACCCATCCCGTGACCGACCCTTGCGAAAGTTGCTTAGCGACTACGATCGCGGGCCGCGGCGCTTATCCACTACGCCACCGTTACTAGACAACGCTTACCGTTTGTTAAATATTGTGACGTCATACGTCTAGTAGTTGTTTATGTATTTTATTTAATTTTGTGACTATTATTATATTGGTGAAATATTTTATTTAAACTGTCAGTGATTGGTTTGCTATGGAAGAGAAACTTTAAATATTTTCCTGTTATAAAACATGATCCAAAACACCTGAAACGATTTTAAAAAAATATTTCACCTAATAAGCTTCATTGTTTTTTGAAAATCGCTTCCCCAGTTGCACAAACGTCGACTAAAATTGTCAATATTTTAATGCCACATTACCGATAGTTATTTTTAAATTTAGAACATTAATTAGAGTTTAAAATTGTTATTAAAATACAAGTTTCTGCAACTGACCTAGAGATATATATCTAGAAACCAACCCAAATGAGACCAAAGGGAAAAAGCCACCCGCATTTTCTTATTTCACATAATATATTTATAATAAAAAGATATATTTTGGTCGATATATTTGTGGCCCTTACGTAAGCAGTAATATATCAGCCATTAGGCGGGTAAACTTAATAATCTAACAGCCGATTTCTATATTGAGAAAAGCAAAACAATCTCAACTGATATCTCTCAATAACTTATGTTTTTTTTTTACATTTCACTAGTCAAAGTGTCCTATTTTTATCAAGCTGCTATCAACTCATTAAAAAACTAAAACCGGAAACCCATTTAAGTGGCGTTTGAGTATAGATTGAAACGTTATTAACTTTAAATTCTCAATTAATAAACCGGGTATGATAATTACTAATCTAATGTTAAAACGGAAAATTTTTATATTTTCTGTTACTTTGTTTGATTTTTGAGTTTAAAAATGAAAATATATACATATATAAAGCTTTTAACACATTACATTTCTCTCTCCCAGAAATACTGGCTTGATCGATCGCTAGACCCATCATATTAATATTCTGCGTGTTGCTCTCTCAAAATCAAGGGGTATGTGATTCGATTTCTATACAGACAAGCAACTGTACGGAGCGGATTGCGTCGTAACGCGAATATTTTATTAACTCCTGCGGAATATCACAACTTTTATTCGCGTTACGGAAAGGAAAAAATATTATAGCGCTATCATATTTTGACGCTTCAACGTTTCAATAAATCTTCGAACTCTCGATTGAGAAAATAAAGCTTGTCCACACTGGATTTAATTCGAAGCTTAAAAAAAATCTTAAGGGTTAGGGTATGTATGTTTCGTGGAAGTTTTTGTAATTATTTTCAATTCCAAAATAATATAATGCAAATCTTCTCAACACGACAAGAATCCCTGGTGTGGGTTTACAAATTTTTCAATTTTCCAATACATTAGCCCACCCCGGAGCAGTGAGACTGTGTGATTGATTCCCGATCCCGACTCTGATTGATACCACCTCGGGAAACACTCAGACCTTCTCTAAAAAGTGTTATTCGATTTATTTAATAACTTATAGGAGTTGTCGTAAACAAATTCTCTCTTGTTATACTTTATTTACAATTTCAAACCTACATATGGCAGCTTTCGGTTTTCATCAATACATAGAGTGATTCGAGGAAGGCATATATTATTAATATTTAATACTAGCTGTGCCCGCAACTTCGTCTGCGTGGGAAGTATTTTGGTAGAATTCTTTTATTCCTATGGATGGAGTCGAATCAAATAAGATCAATGGGCCATAACCCACTATGCGGGCTTAATGCGGATCGGTGGGTATTAACGTTACTGATGCAGCCATGACTAACGGCTTAACGTACATTGTGCCGGTGTTGTGCACAGTGCACAGGATAATAATGTTTTGGTCACCCATCCTGTCCTTACGAATGTAATTTTTCATCTTTTTTCTTGTTCTCGCGCTCTGGTTGTCGTTTATGTCTGAGAATTTTATTCATACCTTGAAACTGTCCTTCTTTTGTTTTTGATCCTTTTAAATGATTATTATTTGTCTAGTTGTATGCACAATCAGCTATTTATTGTTCTTTTTTCCATGTAATGCTAGGTTGCCTGGAAGAAATCGCTTGCTAGCGATGAGTTTGTCGTTTGTACTAAGTAACGTAAAATAAGGATTCATGTATGTCCTTGTTGTGCAGTATTTTACTTATTTATTTCACTGCAATTTAAATCGAATGCGCCAACCCACTAACACCATCGGACCTCTTATACCTAAGATATACTAATAATAACAAACATTTGCCCAAAAACTACTGGACCGATAGTTTCAGAGCGATTCTATCTACGGGAAGTTACATCACGGATGTCATAGGCTATAATTTTGCGGCAAAATCGCAGGAAGACAGCTAGATCATTACACCTAGTGAAAACTTATCTACGGTACGCCTGTGGAGTATGAATGCAACACGGGTCGCCAACCCGTGTTGCATTCATCGAAACTACTTTCTCGATCTCTATTGTGCAAACTGCGAGCTCTTTCAGAGACCAAGCGCATTTCTCTATGAAAGGAAGTTTCATATTCATACCATACTGCATGTATATTACGATCAGCAGTTAGACACGCTATGCGATCTTCAGAAGTTTTCTGAGATCAAACGCTTGTTGTATGAATTCTCCGAGAGCTCAAGAGATTGTCCCTGACAGTAAATGCTTCAGATTCAACTTTATAGTGCATGAGGCCGGCGTTAGGCAGTTAAATACGTTTCACGTTTTTCAGGTATCTCCCGAGACCGAGCGCTTTCCGTCCGATCTCTTTCTTTCGGTACATGTCTGAAGGAAGATACGTGGAGTTTTATTTATTGATATAAAAAAAATATATACATATTTTAATTTCGACTTTCCACACTCGAAGGAAATCGTCTTCTAACACATACTTCCAAGAGGTGCTTAACGGAGCTTCCGTCAGATTTGAACGGCCCTCATCATCATCATCAGCTCATTTACGTCACCAACTGCAGGAGCCTTATGGATTAAGGAGGATGGGCCACGACCCTCTATGTTGGCCCAATGCGAATTGGAGGATATTAACGACTGCAAATTCAACCGGGACCAATCATTTTACGTGCCTTCCAAAGCTTGGAGTTGCTTGAGATAATATTTTTTGGTCACCCATCCTGTTAAACCCTTTGCGAAAATTGCTTAACAACTACAATCGTGAGCCTCGGCGTTTATTCACTACGCCACCGAGCTACTCTGAACCGATCCTCAGACTCGCGTAATATTATATGTGTTGTGACCAATGAATAAACCATTGTTTCCAGCGAAGACTGAAAATACCAACTTCGAAGTACGTATCTACAGCAATTTGTATGTTAAAAGAAAGAGTATTAACATAAAAAAATAGTACTAAGAGAAAAAAAATATATAACTCGAGTTGTCTTTACGTTCTTAACTTCAGTTGACGTGAATCTAAGTTTTTTAACGTCGTGAAAAAACTTCTGACATTGTCTCTGTTACCTGGCAAGCAACAGGGGTGAATAGGATTCTCCTCCGTGAATCCGACAGTGAGCTGCCCAGTAGGTCCCCAGAGGCCTACCCACCAAAACCCGTACGCTATATCCTCTCATGGGAGACGAAACCCGGCAAGCTATGGCCGAGCCACCAGAACACTCAAGTATTGGACCATTGGTCCCATTGCAGATGAAATTGGAGAGGCTTGGGTAAATCGAGTGCCTCTCCCAGACAGACGAAACCGTGCAATCCGGGGGCGGCTGCCAACCACCTCCGCTGGCCCCGACGACGACGTGAACCTAATCTGATAAAAATATTCGTTCACTGTAAACTACTCGAGGCTTAATTGCATCATCGGAAAGCTCTTTCCGCTAGTTCTCCTACTCGCGTGATCGTATACCACACGTCTATTATAAGCTGAACCCTATTTAATATGATTGGCCATATAGAAATGAGGTCAACATACTTCGAGTAGTCAAAAGTTTGGAATCTTATTTTTTTATTTGTTTTCATACAAATTTTCATTTTTTAGACAATATTAATCAATTCGGTGGTGCTACGGATATGCGCCGCTACGCACGATCGCTATTGCTAAGCAATTTTCGCAAGAGTTGTGTACGGGATGGGTGACCAAAAATTATTTAACAAAGGCCTAAGGCCCTGCAGTTTGGCTGTGAAAGAGTTGATGATGATGATCAATATATCAAAGACGAAAATTTAATAAAACAGTAAATATTTCATAGCAATTTTGGCGACCACGTCACTTCAAATTGACATAACTTTTTTATTTGTTAACCGATTGAAATAAATCTTACACTAAATGTTAACGGAAGAATGCCGCAACATAATAGTGAAAACTGAATTTAAATAGATTCAGCCGTTTCTGAGATTATCGTGCACAAACGCACAGACAAACAGACAAACCGACAAACAGACAAACAGACAAAAAATTTAAAAATCATTGTTTTGTATTCTATTACGCTTATAAATGTCCCTTATAACAGTTTTTTTCATATATCTTCAATGTACAGACATCGATCGGTTACGTTTTTATTATAGTATAGATTTCAAACCTACATATGGCAGCTTTCGGTTTTCATCAATATATAGAGTGATTCGAGGAAGGCATATATTATTAATATTTAATACAATACAAGACCACGCGAGCGAAGCCGCTGGCGGAAATATAGTTGGCAATAAATAATACGAGGGTCAAACTGAAAGTTC